GAAATTCTTAAAGAGAAGGGAATACCAGACCACCTGACCTGCCTCCTGAGAAATCTGTATGCAGGTCAGGAAGCAACAGTTAGATCTGGACATGGAACAACGGACTGGTTCCAAATTGTGAAAAGGGTATGCTCAAAGCTGTATTTTTGTCACCCTGTTTATTTAAATTTTTTATGCAGAGTACATCATGTGAAATGCCAGGCTGGATGAAGCATAAGCTGGAATCAGGATTGCCGGGAGAAATATCAATAACTTCAGATATGCACATCAGTTCAGTTCAGTCGATCAGTCGTGTCCGAGTCTTTGCGACCCCATGGCCTGCAATATGTCAGACTTCCCTATCCATCATGAGCTCCCGGAGGTTACTCAAATTCATGTCCATTGAGTTGGTGATGCCTTCCAATCATCTCATCCTCTGTTGTCCCCTTCTCCTCCCGCCTTCAGTCACTCCCAGCTTCAGCGTGTTTTCCAGTGAGTCAGTTCTTTGCATCAGGTGGCCAAAGTATTAGTTTCAGATTCCGCATCAGTCCTTCCTATGACTATTCAGGACTGATTTCTTTTAGGATGGACTGGTTGTATCTCCTTGCTGTCCAAGGGACTCAAGAGTCTTTTTCAACACCACAGTTCAAAAGCATCAATTGATCAGTACTCAGCCTTCTTTATGGTCCAATTCTCACATTAGTTTTACTTATTTCCATCAGTTTTATTTGTTTTCAACCTCAGCATTATCCTTAACAGAATAACAAAAAATTTAAGTATTATGGGATCATGCAATTCCCAGGTTGCCCTAGTGGAAAAGAACCCACCTGCCAATGCAGGAGATACAAGAGACACAGGTTCCCATCACTTCATGGCAAATAGATGGGGAAACAATGGAAACAGTAAGAGACTTTATTTTTGGGGCTCCAAAATCACTGCAGCCATGAAATTAAAGATGCTTGCTCCTTGGAAGAAAAGCTGTGACCCACAGAGACAGCTTGTTAAATAGCAGAGACATTACTTTGCTGACAAAGGTGCGTCTAGTCAAAGCTATGGTTTTTGCAGTAGTCATGTATGGATGTGAGAGTTGGACCATAAAGAAAGGTGAGTGCCGAAGAATTGCTGCTTTTGAACTGTGGTGTTGGAGAAAACTCTTGAGAGTCTCTTGGACTGCAAGGAGATTAAACCAGTTAATCCTAAAGGAGATCAGTCCTGAGTATTCATTGGAAGGGCTGATGCTGAAGCTCCAATACTTCGGTCACCTGATGTGAAGAACTGACTCATTGGAAACGACCCTGATGCTGGGACCGATTGAGGACGGGAAGAGAAGGGGATAACAGAGGATGGGATGGTTGGATGGTATCACCAACTTGATGGACATGAGTTTGAGCAAGCTCCCGGAGTTGGTGATGGGCCAGGAAACTTGGCATGCTGCATTTCATGGAGTTGCAAAGTGTTGGACATGACTGAGAGACTGAACTGAACTGAACCTGCTTGCACTGTTTGTAAATTTTGGAGACTAATCCCTTGCCAGTCACATCATCTGCAGATGTCGTTCAGTCGCCCCGTCGTGTCCCACTCTTTGCGATGCTATGGACTGCAACTCGACAGGTAAGGTATGTCCCTTACCATCTCCTGGAGTTTGCCCAAGTTCGTGTGCATTTCATCGGTGATGCCATCCAGCCCTCTCATCCTCTAATGCCCTCTTCTCCTTCTGCCGTTAGTCTTTCCCAGCATGAGGGACTTCACCAAAAATAGAAAGAAAGATGTGTGGATTGTTCTTTTGTTTATGGCTTCCTTTGCTGTGCAAAAACTTTTGAGTTTAAATAGGTCCCATTTGTTTATTTTTATTTCCATTACCCTGGGAGATGGGTTGAAAAAAAATATTGCTGTGATTTATGTCAGTTTTCTGCCATTGTTTTCCTCAAGTTTTACTTTCCCACTCATATTTAAACCGTTAATCCATATTAAGCTTATTTTTGTGTATGGTATTAAATAATATTCTAACATCATTTTTTTACTCATGTAACTGTCCAGTTTTCCCAGCACCATTTTTTGAAGAGATTGTCTTCTCATCATTGTACGGACCATAGGTGCGTGGGTTTATTTTTGAGCTTTCTTTCCTCTTCTGTTGATCTTTTTTTCTAGTTTTGTGCCATACTGTTTTGATGACTATAGCTTTATAGTATAGTCTGATCTTGGGGACCCTCATTTTTCTACTTCTGTGATAATGAAGTGTTTTTGTTATGAGTACGGGTTCCCATCACTTCATGTCAAATAGATGGGGAAACAATGGAAACAGTAAGAGACTTTATTTTGGGGGCTCCAAAATCACTGCAGATGGTGACTGCAGCCATGAAATTAAAGATGCTTGCTCCTTGGAAGAAAAGCTATGACCCACATAGACAGCTTGTTAAATAGCAGAGACATTGCTTTGTCAACAAAGGTCCGTCTAGTCAAGGCTGTGGTTTTTCCAGTGGTCATGTATGGATGTGAGAGTTGGACTATAAAGAAAGCTGAGTACCAAAGAATTGATGCTTTTGAACTGTGCTGTCGGAGAAGACTCTTTGAGAGTCCCTTGGACTGCAAGGAGATCCATCCAGTCCATCCTAAAGGAAATCAGTCCTGAATATTCACTGGAAGGACTGATGCTGATGCTGAAACTCCAATATTTTGGCCACCTGATGCGATGAGCTGACTCATTGGAAAAGACCCTGATGCTGGGAAAGATTGAGGGCAGGAGGAGAAGGGGACGACAGAGGATGAGATGGTTGGATGGCATCACCGACTCAATGGACATGGGTTTGGGTGGACTCCAGGAGTTGGTGATGGACAGGGAGGCCTGGCATGCTGCGGTTCATGGGGTCGCAAAGAGTTGGACATGACTGAGTGACTGAACTGAAATGAACTGAATGTTATGGTTTTGTTTCATAAGTGCAAATTTTTGTTCACTTAAAGTTAATTAATATGAATACCTTCTTTATGCAAAAATTGACACTCTGGTGTGGTAGAGCCTTGACGGAATAAGCTATACAGTGCAGTGCTTTCTTGAGATTGCATCTGTATAACATAACTTTAAAAGAGTCAGGGGCTTCCCTTGTTTGATGATTTGAGAGTATAGGGATATAATTCATAATTCCCTACTTTCTTATATAAAACATACACACTCTTGTAGCAGTGTTGTGACATTACCTTGTTAGAAAGTTATGCCTTTGCATTTTTTTAAAAAATAGGATACTATAAGGGAGGTGGGAGCTGAGAGGGTTGGCTGGAACAAGGAGCAAGTATTAGGGAATAAGGAGAGACAAAGTTGCTAAGTGTGAGGGAGAGAGCAGGGGAATTTGAGAGAACAATAATAAGTTAATTCCTTTTAAAATTGTTTTGGAACAAGATAGGATACAAATAAATATAAATGAATAAGCTGTGAAAGTGATGAAGTTAGTCTTATTTTCATAATACAGGTGAATTGAAAAACAAAATGTCCTGCTTTAAAGTAGTAATAATGACTTTTCTAAATTTTCATTTTTGGAAATTTAGATATCTTTAAAGCATTATATAATTTGTGATCACTAGTTGTAAAGATACTTAAAGTAATTATATGGTGGTTGTTTCTTCATAGTTAGGTTTCAAAGTTTTACTAGGATGAAATGGCTGTGTTTCAATTTGTCCTACTGTGCGATATTCATTTCTGTATTTTATGACTTACTAAGAGCTAAAAGAAAAATAATTTATTAGTTTAAAGCTTAAAGCAAAACAACAAAACCCAGCTATTGTTTCTCCACCTTGAAATGTAAAGCAGATAAAGTGCAACGTGATTTAATTCAAAGTGTGAACTGAAATATGTGCCATCTAATGTCTGACAGAAGGGAGAGAAAGAAGCAGCAGTGTATAAAAATTGAGCTTCTGTTAATTCAGAATCATTATGTTAACTTAAAATATTTTGTATTTCTAGAACAATATGTACCATATTTAATTATTCAGAAATGTTTCTAGAATATTTTTGAAAGATTTTTTTTGTTACTTTGCACCATTGTTAACTCTCATTTAATTATCATGGTTGATTGCAAAATGAGTATGGCAAATTCTATAAAACTATTGATCTGCCCTAGAACCTGTATTTCAAGTGAAGTCTTTGTCAGAGTATATGACTACAAACTATTTGATGAAACTGTATAGATAACTTGTTACTTTGCATAGATTATTTAACTCCTCATTCTTGTGGGTAGAGTAGGCCACTATGTGGTAGTTGGACAGAATACAAGTAGTTCTTACTCTCTCTGAGTGAATCTCTATTTAGTTTTTCATGTGCATGATAAAATATAAAGAAACTTAAAAGTCCTCTTAAGGCCGCATAAACAGAAAAGATTTCAAAATGGTGAAGGACCTTAAAAGTATTCATATATATTCAGTTATTTCTTGAATTCTGTCATGTCCCTTTAATTTCCTCTTGATCATTTAGGGCCTCCTGAGGTGGTTGAAGATGTTCATTATCAACCCTTATTTGAATTGATGGAGAGATGGAACTTTTTTCTTATCCATCAATACCTTCAAGGTTCCTTGGATTAGTTTTCAGTTTCCTAAGTCAGTCTTAGAGATGGTAGCTGTTTGATTTGAATATTTGTATAATTCCATATCTGACATATCATCACTTTCTTAGAAAATAAGAAAATATTTAAATAGTAACTTTTGAATTCTTTACCATTGAGCCTATCATATATATATAAATTATTCTCCTTCCATCAGACTTACACTAAAGCAGTATTTGTGTTCCCAATAAGCTAATGTATTACAGGTACTATATATTTCTAACTAACTAGTTACTTGAATTTATCTTTAAATAATGTCGGTCTGAACAAATTCACCTGATATATCTGTTGTGGGGATTAATAGTTTAAAATATTTTTTAATTAGCTTATAGCATAAAAACAGTTCTGAGTTTAAATGTGCCAATTAAAATGTTTTTCATTGACATAATTTTTGAAATACTATAGTTTGTAATGGTATTTTCTTTTATCTTTTAGGCGAGGGTTAAATCCACCACACAGGGTGAAATCCATCTCCATGACAACATTCACACAACAGGAAATTGAATTCCTTCAAAAACATGGAAATGAAGTAAGTGTTTCAGTCCTTTTAAAAAATTTGAGTTGTTCAGAATGATAAGAAATTTTCACTGTCTAAAAAAGGTATTTTTGTATTCTGTATTCAGGTGTTTCAGAATGTACTCATCTAGCAGTGTATTTAGATTTAATGTCTACTACATAAATACTTTACCTTAAACCTGAAATGAAACCTGTATTTGAGCTTTGTCAGTATTGAATGTAAAAGGCGTTTTTAGAGGATATCTAGTATTGGAGTAACTTAGTTTTGGCTTTAAATGACAAAAAGAGGAAGAAAGAGAATTAACATTGTGGTACTGCAGTAAACTTTAGTTAGGCTGTTGTATGATCGGCTTTCACTTGAGGGTCCCCTCCTTCCTTTTTACATTTTTAACTTTAGATGTATATGTGATGCTTAATGTTGAGTTGCTTCCCTGGTAGCTCATCTGGTAAAGAATCTGCCTGCAGTGCAGGAGACTCCGGTTCAATTCGTGGGTTGGGAAGATCGCCTGGAGAGGGGCATGGCAACCTACTCCAGTATTCTTACCTGGAGAATCCCCGTGGACAGAGGAGCCTGGCGTGCTACAGTCCATGGGGTCACAAAGAGTTGGACATGACTGAGCGAATAAACACACAGCACAGCAGTGTTAAGTAGGTGCTCATTAGGGAGGAGATTAGTAGTTCTGAGTGGGCAGCCTAGCAGCATGAGGAATCCAACAGAGTCAAGTCAAGATTTGTAGGGGAGCCTTTTCTTTCTACTCTGCTTTAGTGGGCTTCTAGGAGTTCCGTTCTCTTTGCTTGCTTTCTTGTTTTAGTTTCATGTTTTGCTATTATTAAGAGTGGTGGTCTGCTATTTAAAACAAATATAAAAAACTGTAAAATTAACAGAAAGCCAGCATGTTTTATAATCTTGGGGCATGGATGAACCAGTCAACCCAATTGATTAGTAATTGCCATTATTTAATAAGACAGTTTAATCACTTCCTAGAAAGGAAGTATTACTTTAGTTGTACTACAGTGGTTGTATATTTTGTTTTTTGCATGTTTTTGATAATAGAAAAGAAGTCTTCAAATTTTATTAGTTCCAGTCTTCTTTTTCACCTCAGAAGATGTATGCAAGCATTTTGTACGTGGCTTCTTTTTTTCTCTAACACTTCTATAGTAATGTCTTAAACTTGCTTTCCAACTTTTGATACATGTGTGTATTTGGTTCTAAAGTAGTAAAGATTATGAAATATTTTTTAATACATGATTTAGAGAAGTAACACACATTTTTAAGTTTCCAAATTTTGCCAATAAAAAATTATCTTGAGTAATCAAGTTCTATATTACAGGAAAATCTGAAGCAAGATGAAAAGGCAGAGGTGTGTAATGACAGTAAGTGTAGAAATGTATTTTGATTAAAAGACAATTTGAACAGTTTGTATAAAGTTTGAGATTAGCCTACCAGTGCAAATTTTAAATTATTTTCTTAGAAATTGGCCTTGGGGAAAAAAAAGAATTTGGCCTTGAATACAAAATTTTAGACATCAGAATGGAGTCAGGAATGAAAGAATATCATCTGTTCTTATGCTAAAAATCTAATAACAGGTACAATTATAGTAGTAGAACTGTAAAGGTAACAAAGAATCCATTAGAGAAGTAAGTAAAAAACATTCAAACCTGTCAATAGATAAGATTTGGTGGAAATTGGTCCTAAAATACTACAACTGAAGGACCCTTTAAAAATTTTTTTTTCCTGAAATTGTGGTGAGTACACTTAATGTGAGATTTACTCTCTTAAAATATTTTCAAGTGTAAAATGTGGTATTGTTAGCTATAGGCAGTGTTAGGAACTTACTCATCTTGCATAACTAAACTTCATTGCCAATGAATAGCAGCCATCATTCTACTTTCTGCTTTGGTGGGTTTGACTGTTTTAGGTGTCTCATCTTAAAGGGAGTCATACAGTATTTGCTGTTCTGTGACTGGCTTATTTCACTTGGTGTAATGTTCACGAGGTTCATGTTGCGTATAATAGGATTCCTGAAGGGATAGTTTTTATAACTGTGATATCAAGATAAATTTAGAAAATATGAAAGGAAATCTTAGGTAACTCTTTATATCAAATAGTGGAAACAGAATACAAGCAATAGAGATGACTGGAATGGCTTTATGAACTTGTAAGTTCTAAAAAGAGTCAAGCAAATTAATAGTCCATTTAAAGCCCTCACTGTTGCAGTTGTTGTGCTAGTACTTGGATACAGTAGACTTAGAGTTCATGGTCTAGGTAGGAGATGGATACAGGACAGACAATTGTGACCCTGTGTTAGGTAGTTAATGATGATAATAAGAATGCTCAGAAGTAATGTGGAAAGGAGAGAATTGGGAAGATTTCATAGAGGAGGCGAAGTATTTGCCGACTTTTGACGGTGACTAGGACTTAGGCTAGCAGGAAAAGATTCTACAGGCAGAGTAAACAGTGCACAAAGAGAAATTTCCAACAGTTCTTACTGCTAGAAAGTTTACCAACTACTTAATTACTTGTTAAGGGAGAGAAACATACTTTCTTGTGTCCCTAAAGACATCTTATAACCAAAATATTGGAGTAGGTATACTTAATTCCTTGTATTATTAGCAGAATTTCCATTCTTAAAAGTTTTATGAGGTGTGTAGAAGGTGAGGATTGATATTATGAAATGCAGGATGATTGATGCAGCTTGGTAAAAAATTATATAGACTTCAAGTGCAAGTGCCTAATTATCAGTTTATCTTTTACAATTAAATCTTAAGTATAACATGCATAGGGAAAAGTATGCAGATGTTTATTTTTTATTTCAAATTATGTTGCTATATTTGAACAGTGTGTTAAGTGTCCATTGTCTGGAAAGGAACATACTCAGTCATGTAAATGTTGGGTTAAAAGAAGGTATTGTTATATGTCTAGTGAATGAGTGGGTTCATGTCTGAAGTTAAAAGATAAAAATGTATATTAACTGGCAGAAGTCTTGGATCTTCTACCCGAACAAGAGAGTTTTAATGTTCTGAGGGGCTTGTTGGTTGTCACTATTTGCAGCAGGCAAGCACCATGGTTGCTGGATGACTCATAAGGTGTTGATTCCTAAATCACCCTGTATTCCATATGCTTTGACTTTCCCCCCAGACATTTGTATGTGGCAGAAACCTTTTTACAGTCAATCTGCATGTAAATCTGTTTTACATGCTTTCATTATCGTTGTGAACAACTTATTGTCAGAGAAAGTCATTCTGCCAAGTCTAGAATCGAGTGTGGGAGGGGACCACAAGTTACAGGGCAGAGGGCTTGGACAGAGGAAGCCATTCATTGACACCATCAGTGCAGTGACTTAATGCATTTGTATATCTGGGAAAGATTTCACTTTTCATTCAGAACTTAAGAATTGTCCACTGTTTTTGGCACATCACATAATGCTTTCTTTTGTATCATATGTTATTTTAAAAAAATCTTTAGTGGTATACTCCATATGTCCTCTTTTATGGTGTTGTGGGTCAATCAGAGGAATTTCACTATTGGGTTAACTTCTGATTATCAAGCTTAATGGAAAGAAGACTGGGTACCGGTGCTATATAGCTAACTCAGTAAAAGGAAAATGTAGGAATAACTTTATTTTGAGCCATACAGTTTTTTTTTTCATAGTAATAAATTAACCTTCCTAATTAAGTTTCAGGACTGAGTAAAAGGGTTACTGCCGATGCTTCACAGGCATGCACTCTACATGTAGAAATAAAATCATGAGTTGATTGACAGTATTTGGTCATCTTTATGCTAGGTTCAAAACATAACCCCCAAACCAGAAACTAAAGCTTTTAAAAAAAATCCTGCCAAAGTGGTAGACCCATAAGGTAAGTTGTGCTTTTCCCTAGTCAATATGTATGATCGACTCATTCTTCATTCCTGATGCAGAGATTTATTAATCACCTATTGTTGATTGTCTTTGGGTACTGGGGTACTGCCTGTGATTCCTGCCCTTATGTAAAGTTTTCAGTCTAGTGGGGGACAGAGTGACAATAAAAATCTTTTTTTCTCCCCAGTTCTATTTTTGGGTAAGAGTGAGAAAGGGCTTCAATTTAGAATTGTAGATGCTTGGGATTATGGAGACATTTTTTTTTTTTTTTAAGACGTTATACTTTGGCTTAAATAGGCCTTATTTTATGAGACAGCACTTCAGGCCTTTTGGGTAGTTGAATTGCATCTTTGAGAAAGATTGGAGCTATTTTATAATCAGAAATAAGCACTGCCACAAAGAAAAGTATTCTGGTATCTTAACATTAAATTTCAAATTCACATGCTGTGACAATTTTGCTGGAATATTCAGGTATCATTTATGGTATTAGACTCAATCTGTTATGATGTTAAACAGGACACTAGTGGTTATTTCCTAAATCATCTTGTCTTATAACCTGTAATAAGTCATGGTCACTCTCAGTACAGAATAGTGGACTCTGTAAAGTGGAAGGCCAATATCTGAAAGAGCCTGCAGGCCATTGTCAGAGTAAAGACAGTGAGTGAACTTTTGAATGAATCCTGAATCAGGGCAGGGAACTATTATGTAGCTTCAAAGTGTTACATTCCTTTAAGTTTGATTAAAAACCAGACGATCTATCCCAAACTGCAACTCTGTACAGAAATTGATAAAATTTGGACTAAACTTGTTAAATGTTCAGTGGTCTTGTGCAGAAAAGATTGGATTTGAACTTGGAGGGTTGAGAACATTGGTCAGATTACCTCTGAGCCTCAATTTCTACAAGTGTAAAATAGTGACAGTATCTTACTGTAGAAAGGGTGGATTGGAATGCTTTGAGCTCAAGCAGCCATGATAGTTCCCAGCATACTTCTTGTAGAATGATATTCAGATGTTTATTGAATCAGAACCTGAGGTAGTAGAAGTTACACAAGGGTTAACAATATTTTTTTTTTTCATTTCTTGCTCACAGTGGTTTTTTTTTGGAGGGATTTTCAGTTTTCTTAGAATCTGGTAGTATATCAGTTACATTAAT